GTTAAATCATCATGTAACCGTTAAATCAACTATCATTGACGGATAATGATGATCTAACGGTTACAAACCGGACATAATAGTTTCGTAACGAAACATTAGCATTTCCTTATAATATGAATATTTTTAAATTGAATTTTCTTATTCTGAAAAAATAATTTATTTAAAGTATGATGGTTCGTAGTAAACATATATATATTTCTATTAAAGAGCATGATGAGTTGACTCTTTTAAAATACATAACTCACACAATAATTTGTGATATATATTTAGGTAATCATCAATTAAGTAAATAAGTTCATTTTTCGCACCATCCCCCACCACAGGGCAGCAAAACGAATCGTGCGACTCACAAGCGATTGAGTTAACGTTCACATTAGAAATTATTCCCTCATTAGAAATTATATAATTAAAAAAAAAAAAATTGAATCAAAGTCGAGCAAAATTCGAGCCGATTTTTTTGAGTGTTTATATTTTTTGTCAAGTCAAGTTGAGCCTCAAGCAAATCTGACTCGTCGAGTTCGAGCAGGTGTTAATAAATCGATCACGACTCGATACAAGCAATGTTGGATTCGGCTCGACTTTGTGGTCCTACTCAAGTCTCCACATTGCACCAATTTAATTATCTCGTTATACGTGCTAACAAAGAAAATTCAAAGCCATTTGCAGTTTTTCTCATTACTACGAAGAAAACAATTACTACAGAATGTAATAAATACGTGAATAACAAACCGCAAAATTCTCGAGATCTTAAGAACAAACTCTCACGAAAGGCGACTTTGACTTTTACAACGCTATGTGTATGTTATGTAGAAATGTATGTATGTATGTAATTGTGTATCTACCTGAGAGTCTCGTCCCCCCTCGTGACTTGCGTTATATTTTTGCTGAGCTGGGTTAATTACTCTCACATAATTACAACACTTCACTCGCGCCAAAGGCGCGTGGGTAGGTTGCAACTCGAAACGGTTTTCGCAGCTTTGAAGGAGAGCGAGTAAACGGTGACCCGCGCGTGAGTTTAGCTAAGCCCCACTCCACTTTTCCCACTATCCCTCCTTCCCTCCTTTAAAAGAGCAGAAAGCGGGAGTTACACATTAAAGCTAAAGTTTACACAGAGAGAGAGATTGAGAGAGAGAGAGAGAGAGAGGGATTACATATGTGAAGTGAAGTTTTGTGAAGAGAAACTGTGTTTGTGTGTGTGTTTGAGGGAGTCCAGAAAAGTAGCCGGAAAATAGACAGGTGGTCGCCGGAGAATGTCGACGGGGATGGTGAAGGAGCAGAATCTGGACAAACAGATACACAAGCAAATGGGGTGCATGGCCGGGTTCCTTCAAATCTTCGACCGCCACCAGATTCTGAGCGGGAAGCGCCACTACTCCAACAAGCGCCTTCCTCCCTTGCCGGTACGATTACATTCTCCTCCTGTCGCATGTGAATACCACCAAAAAAAACTTTGGTGGAGTTGTTATTTGCATTTTGATAATTTTTGAATAATATCTGCTGTTCAGGTCGCCGACACGGCGTCGGAATCGGAGAGGTCGGCTCCGCCGTCGCCGGCGGTTTCGGAGAGGCCGAAGCAGTCTCCGGATGCGGTCGACAATTTGCCGCCTCAATCTCCCATTCGTCTCGAAATGAGGGAAGTCACGAGGTCCCCGTGGAAGTTCGGTAAGGAAACCCCCAGGCTGTCGCTGGACAGCCGGGCCACCACGGACGCGAAGGGAGGCCTCCACCCCAGAGAAATCCGCACCGGCGGTGGCGGCGGCCGGTGCGAGAGCATCTCGAGCGACGCGACGGACGACAGCCAGAACTACCGTTCCCCCAGCGTCATCGCCAGGCTGATGGGGCTGGAGCCGCTGCAGGATTCCTCCCTCTCCGAACCTGAATCCAAGCCTCAGCTCCGGAGATCCGCGTCCGAATCCCGAGTCACGCGAGACCTCTTCCAATCTCGATTCACCTCCGAAAAGCCGAACCAATCCCAATCTCCCATTTTCCCAAAAATTGCTCAAGATGGACCGCCGCCGGCGCCGGCGTCTGCGCGTTATTCGGATCCGAGGAGCTATACTCTGAGAGGCGCTCACAACGGTATCGAACCGCCTAAACGCTTCAATTCCTCGTCCCCATGGAAATCTCCTCAGCTCCACCGCAGAGGCTTCTACGATTCCGGAGACTTCTTCCCGGAGCCGAAATTGGCGGCGCCCTCGGAATACGTTGAGATTGAGAGCAGATTGAGATTCAGGGGAATCGACGAGCCGTCTCGGGATTTAGATACACTGAAACAGATCCTCGAGGCATTGCAGCTCAAGGGACTTCTGCACTCGAAAAAACCGCCGGAGCATAATCAGACCAGACACCGGAACTTCATCTACGACGAGTCCCCAGTCGTCATTGTGAGAACTCCGAGATTGTCAAATTCATCTCCGATTAACCGGAGACGGGGAATCAACTGCTCGCCGCCAAGCGGCGTCAGAAACCAAATCGGTTACAATTCCCACTCGCCGGCGCAGAGTCCTCGCCGGAGCCCGAGCCGCCGGAGCCCAAGCCCAACTTCCACAGGCAGGAACGAAATCAACACAATTGGAAGAAAATCGAACTCGCTCGTGAAGCCCAAACCTCTGAGCGTCGAAACCCAACGGAGGAAAAACGAGCCCGTTGAAAACCGGCGAGCCTCTCCGGTTCAGTCACCAAAGCTTAGCCCGAGAAGAACTGGGCTAGATCCGGCAACGGGCAGTCACTCGCCTAGGAGAAAAAAATCAACGGCCGAGATTCATCTGAAACAGAAGAAGACGACCGTTGTTTCTTTGGAAGACGAGTCCTCGTCCATTTCTGGTAGCAGCATCACTACATCCACTGATACAGAGGTAACCGAAAACTTGTTTTAGCCATTTAATTAATGTTAATCGTCATGTTAATAACTCACTCCCCATTATTAATGTAATAATGTTCAGAAGTCTAAGGCTGAGGACTACAAAGAAGGACGGCATTTACTGGAGAGATGTGATAAGCTGCTTCACAGCATAGCTGAAATGACTGCAACTGATATGCAACCGAGCCCCGTCTCGGTTCTCGATTCGTCCTTCTACAAGGACGAGTCTTCCACACCTTCCCCTGTCACGACCCGACGTATTATTGATTTCAAAGGTGCATAATTTATTAATTTATTGCTTCCGTTATCGTGCAGTTTTGAATATTTGGTTTGCAATATGCACTATTTGCTTGGATTGATTTACAATGGATTGTATGAAAGCTAAACAATGAGGTTGCTTTCGACTTTGGACTTAGCTGTAATTAACGTAGTTGCTGCTATCTAATTTGTGTTAATGAAAATGATGCTTGAGTTTTGTTGATTGGACAAGAACTAAAGGTCATTGGGGAAAATGGGGTCAATGTTGGTTTTAAAATGTAGCACATGTGATTAAGACTGTATGGTTTAGTTTAGTCACATGGGGGTGGGTCGTGCCTTAATCATTCGTGTCCGTTGAATACAAACACCAAAAGTTGTGGATCGATCTTCTCGTAGGGGACTCTAATCTAATTATGAGATATCTTGTACCGTATTTAAAGTCAAAAGTAACAAAATCGCCTTTATTTAGTTGGAGTGAGAACTTTTTGGAATTTCGTTTGATCGAGTCGGGTTTATGTCATTGTGCTTCGAAAATTATTCAAGATACTGTTCTTCGTTTAACCGTTAACATTAACTGCACAAGCATGTCATCTTTTGGAAGTTTGTGTACTAAAACAAATCCTTGGGACCAAAAACTTGTCTGGAGTCTGGACCGTGTACTGTGGAAGTGGAACCGAGCCTGAGCCCCGATTAATATAGCAATCTCTCATGAATGGACACTTGTGACCACATTTTCCTTCCTTTTTTTCCCCTTTGTGGTCCTTTTACTGAGTGTGCCTACTTAAATTAAATCATTACTAAACTTCAACAAGAAACTACATAATGTCATAGGTGGGGTTGTTCTGTTAATTTGGCTCTTGTGTGGTCACGAATATGATGGTATTTGCATTATTTGTCTTCTCACAGATCAATCCAATGAAGCTGAAGATGAGATCTGGACCCCTAAAGGAATTACATCCGACGGCTCGGATTTCGCGTACGTTGCGGATATTCTGAGGGCTTCCCATTATTATCTCCCGGAAGAGACAACCGACTTTTTTCTCCTGCTGGAAAAACAACAGTACTGCAAGGGCAAGGACTCGTCGAAATCCTCCACGCTTCAGAGGAAGCTCATTTTCGACACGATTAACGAAATTCTCGACCGGAAGAAGAAATTGCCTCCATGGAAAGCCACAAAGCCTTCTGTGACGAACGTGTGGTCAGAGCTCGAGAGAATACGCGCTCGGGAGGAGGATTGTGAGGGTCGTGATTTGTTCGAGACGGTTTGTGGGGTGTTGAGGAAGGACATGGCATTGGCACGGGACGGTTTGGATGGATGGGATGAATGCCATGTGGAGATTTCAGAGTCCATACTCGATATCGAACGGCTCGTGTTTAAAGATTTGATAACCGAGACCATCCGGGAGCTGGCGAAATCGAACGTGCTGCCTAGGAGAAAATTGGTTTTTTGAATAATTTGGAGAAAGATCTGAAATTTGTGTTATTTATTGAATGGGGAGAAGTTTTTACTGTTTTTTAGATGCTTTGTTTTAGCTAGTTGTGTGTGTTGTTGTTTTTAACTTTTTTATCTCATTTATTTCTGGTTTAATTGATGGTGTTTGATTATTGGGGAACATCACTATTAACTGTCAATTTTTATTATTATTATTATTCTTAAGAGCTTGCAAGCTGTAAAAAGAAAAAAGAGCATGTGTGATATTGCGCGCGCACATCATGGGCTCTGTGTGTCTGTGTGTGTCATGTGATTTCTTTATCAGTTTATTGGGTTATTAACTTATACTCTCTCCGTTTCAAATTATAAGTCGTTTCGACTTTTTTGATTCATTTATTTTGCTATGTATCTAGACATATTATTATCTAGATACATAGCAAAGTAGATGTACCGAAAAAGTCAAAACGACTTATAATTTGAAACGGAGGGAGTATAATTTATTAATTTTGCTCCATGAGAAGGAAAAGTGAAAAGCAAGGGGGAAAAGGACATGGGTTTTAGGACTAAAATCATAGTTTAATTTGTTTGATTTTAAGGTTTACTTAGCAGATGAAAATGATGGTGAGGCAGGGTTTGGTTTGGTCCCACCATTTTCCAAGTCTTTAGATTACAATTTACTTGAGATTTTCATTGAGGGAATTTGAAATTGAATGATTTTAATGGAAGAAAGAAAAAAAAGAGAGAGATCTTTTTTTTTTTAAAAAAAAAAATACAGACAGTGTACAATTTTAAGATTTGAATACAGTCGAATATTATCATATAGCAAAGTAAATAGACTACAAACCATCTTGGTAGAGAAATCATTTTTTTAAAGTCACAAAATTCACTAGTCACTACTAGTGTGTTTGGTAAGTACTATAAGTAAGTTCATAATTTATAGGTTTTGCTAAATTATAACCTTTTTGTATACAAATAAGTTTGATTTGGTAGGAAGCTCGAGTTTATCTTATAATTAGCTTCAGCGGATAGTTTTGACATAAGTCTGTTGAATTGTTTGTTACAACTTACTTATTAACTAATTTTACCATACAATTTTATCATATCAGCTAACTTTTCATTCATAAGCTCGAAATTCACGTATAGGATAATAACATAATTTATCAGCTATCAGCTACCTTATTAGTTATATATTTATCAAACACAACCTAGGTTATTTTTAAACCTTTTGTCAGTCAACGAGTTTAATACAAGTGTGACACTCCGACCGACTTAGAACTGCTTCCTCTTCGATCTCCTCGCTGGTAGAAAGTCGGAACCTGCACAAAACTCTCACACAAGGGGGGAGGAATTTCCAGTGAAGAATCTCCAACGCTCAAGTCAGTCTTGAGAAAAGATTATACAGAAATTGTGTGTGAAACGAAGTTATTATAAAGATGAGGGAGTACTATACATGAACAAGGAATTATGAAAAAATAAGACTTATTGATTTCAAAGTTGAATTTTTCCAAAAGCAGTTGGCTCTGAAAATTAGAAAGGAGTCAGATAAGAGATATGTTGATGAGGTTTGACTATAATCATCAAATTTGGCAGCTTTGCACAGTGATCTTGTGATGATTGATATTCTCGTAGGTAGGCCGGAATCTTATGAGTATCTCACTACAGTATCGTACTAAATTCACCTACTTCATAAATCCTTTTTTTTTTTTTTAACACCTTTTAACATTTTAGTGTTGCTCTATTTTTTTTTTTCTTTAGTTTCTTTTTATAATAATCTAGCACGAAAAACATCCACAACTAAGACTATAAACGAGACAAATCGAGTTCCAGCTTGTGGTATTTGAGCTATCATAAGGGAAAATATATACATTTATTAGGCGACACGTGGCTCGGGAGAATAAAGACACATGTACTACGAGGACCGTTAGTATCTTAGGTCAAAGTTGAAGCCCAACCTCAAGTTAGACCTAAGGTCCCAAGAGCCTTACTCTGGGCCCAAGGCCTGAAGAGAATTACTGTAAGACCAGGATCTAGAGGAGCTCTACGTTGGGCGAAGGCTATGTCTGTAAAAGGGAGACCTAGGTCGTCCTTAGAGAGACCTAGGTTAGAGCTGTAAATGAACCGAACGTTCGCGAACAAAAGCTCGTTCGAGCTCGTTCGTGTTCGACAAAAGCTCGTTCGTTTATTAATCGAGCCGAGTTGGAACAGAAAATTAGGCTCGTTTAGTAATCGAACGAACACGAGCTCGTTCGTGAACGTTCGATTATGTTCGCGAACATTAATTTAATATAATTTTATTTTATTTTATATATATTTATATAATATTTTTAATAAAAAAATCTAAAATTTAATATAAATTTGTTTATTCTTTATATATTTACATAATATTATTTTAAAAAAATATAAAATATAAAAATATTATTATTTTATTCTTTTATTTTCGAGTTCAAACGAGTTCGAATGAACAAATTTCGAGTTGATCAAACATATTTAAAAAGTTTATATATTAAATTATTCGAACACGAACGATTCGAACTTTTACGAACAATTAAACGAACGAACTTGAACATGATTTTTTGCTCGAAAAATAAACGAACGAACACGAACATTGTTCGAACGTAAACGAACACGAGCTCGGACAGCCCAAGCTCGGTTCGGTTGGGTTCGTTTACAGAACTAACCTAGGTCGTCCGACACCCATAAAAGGACGACCTAGGTCAAGGTAAGACACATTCTCTTCTACTCGATACTCTCTCATCTACTCATTCTGTAGCCACCACCCTAAAACCGATTCTAACTTAGCTAGGCATTAGAGGGTCTACCTTGGGGACAACCCCGGGATTATGTTTTGCAGGCATCAGAGCAAAAGAGACGCACTAAGGTGGACGTCGGAACAACATCACCGCCACGTGTCCTCGAACTAACGTCAGATAATTATTGTATTATCAAGTTCAAAACGAGTTGTAAGGTAAGTAGAATTTACTCTGCGACTATAGTTAGCCAAATTTATATTCCATCTCTCATCCTTTGTTTTATATATTATATTATATATGATTCTTTTTACTATATATTAATTTAATGAAATTCTGATAATTATATTAAGAAAATATATTTACCTCATAACTTTAGACTTGTGTTCATGTGTTTCATAATCAAAACCAGTGGATTCCTACTCAGAAAAATCATATCCGTTAACTAAAATCAACTAATATTATGAATTCACTCATATCAGACATCTCAATAATTGTAAAAAAATAATAATAATAATAATAAAAAAAATAAAAAAAATCATATAAAAATTATACTTTTTTTTTTACTAACTAAAAAAATTATAATTTTTTACTAGCTTAAAATATTCTTATCATTTAAACTTCATATTGTCATTTAATTTCGACCATATCATTTAAATAAATATTACTATCATTAAATTGATTATTAGAAACTTACACTGACAGAAAAAAATAAAATAAAATAAAATAAAAATTGTCCTGCTCCACACCAATCTTTTCAATTGAATGCAAATTAAATCATAATATTAAATTCGTCTGAATATGCAATCAATTATATAACTTTGTTTGCAGAGTCGTACGTACGATATCCAGAACTTGGCTAGCTAGTGTCCAACATATATGTCCTCACAATTCACATATAACCCTGACTAAACAGGAATAAATACATAAATGACTAAACAGAATAAATAATTTAATTAATTAATACATATATAAATGAACAAGAAATTAATTAAAATTAATTATTACTAGCTATATAGTACATTATCATTATATACTTTGTACAGCCAGACATGATTAAGATAGTGTTCTGGAGATGAGCAATATTGGACCTACATTAGTTATCAAGTAGTGGCAACGACTCGAAAAAAACACAGGGGCTACCATGTGAAACGGTGATAAAGAAAAACAAAAAGAGAAGTTGCGGGCTCGGTGGGGAAAAATTAATTAAGAGAGCATACAAATTACAAAAGTAGGGGTGCACAAAAATCGGTTAACCGAGCTGAATTGAATCGACCGAAACCGAATGGACTTGGTGGGTTACCCTTCCTTTCGAGTTCACTAGTTAAGTCTTTATTTTTCGTTTTGTCCCACTTTGTAGTGCAACTTGTATGTTTTGGATCCAAAGCGAGACTCTTGCTTTTATTCTTTTCTTTCTTTATGTTATTGGTTGGACCTTGTAGACTTAGGCCTCATTTACTTTGCTTTGACAGGATAAGATAATGAAAGTTATCCCCGTAAAGTTAATGTTTACTTCAAAAGACAGGGATAAGATATAACTTAAGTTGCGTATATATGGCAGTGGGGCCCACACGTTAATCATCTATAGGCTGATTATCTCATCCCTGGGGAACATCAGATTTTTTTTATCCCTTTTTAAAAATGCCCCATTTCCTTTTTTAATCTCATAATGTAAACGTGGGACAATATGTTGACGTATAAAGTTGGTTAAACTACTTTCTATTATCCTATCAAGCAAAGTAAATGGCCCTTATGATATTCACAGCTTAGTAGGGGTCTTGATTATCTACAGGTTGGGATGAAATGAAACTTTAATCCCCACGTATTCGGGGTGCTTTTTTTAAAAAAAAAAATAAATAAATAATAATAATAATAATAATAATAATAATAATAATAATAATAATAATAATAATTGTCTTCCAATCCATATTCTTTGGTGACATAATTCATACCTAAGAGGGCCAAAACGAGGTGTTAAAGGTGAACCCGTGGGAAGTTAGATCTGTAATGTCGGGATAATTTGGAACCAAAGTATAATTTGAATATAAATGTGTAAGATTGATTGACTTTACAAAGTCTTTTTTATTTCCCAAATTATTGAATCTTGTATGAAGTACATGTTTTTAGTTGTCCTAAATTTTTTAGCATATATATGTATACTAGTACAACACCCGTGTATTACACGGGTGCTTGTTAAAAAATTATTTTTAAATTTTAAAATTAATGAGAAAACTATATTAAATTTAGTTTACTTTTTTACAAAAAAATATAT